GTTCCCAGGTAGCCGGCTGCCGTTCCCAGCCGCTCGGGCAGCGCGGCGAGCTCAAGGGCTGAATCCTCCAGCTCCATGAGGACTCGCCCGGGAAGCCTGGCTGGGGTCGTAGTGCAGGGCTGGGAGCAGTTGTGCTTTTGGCCATGGCGGAAAGTTGCAGCTATTCCTGGTGGTGTCCCTAAATAGGGACGTTTAGTCTCTAGATGTTTTATCACTTGAAAGACGGACCGCCGGATTGTGCGCGCTGGAGCAGGTTGGAGCTGCTGGGTGTAATGGGATGTCACGTTGTTACTAATGGTGTTCCTGCAGTGACCTACAGGCAGATGGGAGGCAAAGTTTGCAGGGAGATAGATGGTTAGTCTAATAAAATACTAACAAGTAGTGATTGCAGCTTTCTGCTTTGCTGGTGGCTACTGTATTGTAGGTTTGGACAGTGACTTTGGGGATTCAGAGTCAGGCTGATGCATGAATATTGTGTCACTACGTATGCACTCTGCTGTTCGAAGAGTTTGATGTAGACAGGCTGAGAAATAGCAATTTGGATTATGTGGCTGTAATGTGCTGATGTTTCTTGTTTGTGCAGAGCAATTCAGGTATACAAATATCAATCAACTGAACTATGATTAATGAGTTGCTAAGCTGTTAAGGTGTCTTGGATGATCATAGTTTTGTAGAAGGCCATCTAAGTAGTCTCTGTCCAAAAGTGAGGAATGACGAGTCTTGTTAGTAATCTAATGGGGAGGATAAGTTGTTGGGATCCTGTTCATGGTTTGAAAACATCTGCCATAAAGGTGTAGGGATAACACAGCCACATCAAACAAGTTTCAGAAAACTGAGGCTGATAAAGGTGGATTTGTTTTGACCCGTAATAAGGGATCTGTAGTGCAGGAGAGGTTTGTCTCACCAAGAAATTACTTGCCTACAGCAAGGAAACCCGAACTCGAGAGAGTTTGTGGTAGCTGCCATATTGAAAAAAAGAATGTCTTTGCATAAAATAATATTTTTTGAAGTGACTTAATAGGCTTAACTTGCTTGATTGTCATGCCCTCTTGTTTTCAAATGTGTGTCATTGTCAGAGCATTAATGCATACTGTATACTTGTGTGGTCCCTGACTCGAATTGTAAGTCCATGTTTCATATATGTCTAAAACTTGTGTCTTTCAGCATCTTGAAGGTTGGTATCTGGATATATGAAGCTAAATGTAAATAGATAAAATTAAACAAAAAGATTAATGTGAATTAATATGATAATTACATGAGAGGGTTTACATTTGAATGTAAACAGTATATATTTTTCTAATTGGTCTAATAAAAATATTATCTCTTCCTACTGCTTTTGCTATCTTTGGAGTATTTTATGGACTGAGAACCTGGCCCATTGCTTCTCATGCTCAGACCGCTCAAAGTTTACTCAGTGGAATGCAGTAGTCAAGTAATGAAACTTGCACAATCACTAATAAAATATTTTGTAGTCATTAGTAACACTTGGTCTGTGTTGCCATGATGATATTCATTTGGCTTCAGGGTAGTGTAGCTGTCTGAAAAGAAGTGGGACATCCCTCCAAATCTTGGCCGTTGGTTCCCATCTCTTCCTTGTCCTGGCACTAGTGTTCTGTGGGCTGAAAGATAATCAGTGAATTGAATTGGCTGAAACTAATAAACTACAACAACCTGATCTAGCTTAAAGTATGGCTGTGCAAATACTTATTCCAAAACAAAAGATGGGATGAGATGAGAATGAATTTTAATGATGTGGTGGAAGCTTGGATTTTCTCTTCTGGCGATGTCAAATTAAATGGCCTTTAATGTTAAGAGGCTTGGTTCTTTAATTTTACCTTTAAACAGGAATGTCCGGGGCAGTGATTGTCCATGATGTTCTTCAACTAAGCAGGTGGCTAACAGCTTTTTAGCTCTTTACTATGAATAAATAAGCAAAATTCCAGCTGTGTTGATTTATTAAAAAAAAAAAAAGGGGGGGAGTTTAGTCCTGTAGTTAGACAAGTAACAAGTTTTGAGAATATGTTTTTAATGTCTCTGTTACTCCCTACAAACCTTGCAAGAGTGATTAGATTGCGTACTTTAGAGCAGAGTGCTTGTCTCTTCTGCAGGGAAATATGAGGGTTGACTAGTTCAGTTTCTGGGCTATCTTCCTGAATGATCCATGCTTTATGTTTGAATCTACTGTGGTACTTAGCCAGTCCAGTGAGGAGGTCTGCCCACCTGGCTTATGATAGGATCAGATTGTTTCCCTTTCCTGACCTTGAGTGATTATTTTTCCTCAGGAAACCAATGTCTTCTTACATGGTCATTACTAACAAGTTTGAAGGACATGAGAATTCAGCCAATTTTGTTAAATACCTGAATGGAGTTTCTTCTTCACTTCTCAGATTCTTTTGTTCAAGTCTGTTTTGAAATTTGAAGCTTTGTCAGAACCTATTTCCTAAGGTGTGTTAACATCTTTGCGCGCAGTGTAGGTAACAAATTTCATCAGACTTTCTCAAGAAGCTGTTTTTCTTGAAGGAGTGTGATAATACCTTTGAGTGAAGAGGTGGGACTAGTGCTTAAGATTTTTCTAATGCTCTTAGTACTCAATTATTTACCTTTTTGAAAATAAGAGGTAAAGATTTTGGTACTGAAGTTCAGATGTTCCCCCCCATTGGTCTGAGAAGAAAAAACTGCAAACTTTATTCTAGCTTGAAATTACAAAAGAAAAGCAGGAACTCAGCTGCTTGTTTTATGCTAGAAGGGTGGGTTTGTATTTGCATTGCAGAAAAAGCTTAAAGTATTGCATCGAATGACTCATTTTTTTCTTTGTTATTGGCGTAGAATGATGAATAAGTGTACATTGAAGGCAAAATATAAGTCTAAAGAATGATTTTGAAGTTATGGCAGCAAAACAAAATTACGAAGCTCGTCCCTACTGTTCATTAGTTCTGTTCAACGGATGTGTGGAAGTTGCTCTGCGAGCAATGTTCTGAGTTTTTACATACATTCTTAAAACTTTACAACCTTTCTATTGTGAGAAATAAGCATTCTGTTGTGTAAGGTGATTTCCACGAGTAGTTCAGAACTGTTTTCAGATTTTATGCAGAGGGACAATAATGCGTAGTAAAGCAGTGTGTCTTTAAACAAATCTGGTATCACTTAGGTACTTGTCAGTAACTGTCTCTCATTCATGGCATTCAGTCGTTCTGCCTTTCATTAGCCTTTCTCGATTGCCTTGAATAATCTGGAATATTTATTAACATGTGTGCTCTTTTGTGGAAAGTTCTGATTTTTCTTCTGTGACCATGTTTACACCTGTATGAGTTCAGGGGAAGCTTCTCCTCATGCAGCAATTCACGCTGGAAATAGGAAAATAAAGATACAGAGGAGATGCCGTTTTTAAAGGCAGCTTTAAAATTGACACTTTTACCTTTAGGTGTCTCAGCAGCAAGAATTGCAAGTACGGAAGCTTTTGTTCCACCTCCCTCCGCTCCCTCAGTTTGTTTCCGGAAATCTAACCTCCACGTTGATAAGTCTAATAATGAGAGTTTTAATGTTGAACGCTGTTTTAGTGCCACTGCCTGATTCTGTTGGGAGGTTGTTTCTGTGTGAGTAACTGAAGACTAGTTTAAAACCAGCTTTGATATTTTGCTAAATAAATCTGCAAGAACATCTGCTTTTCGTGTAGTAGATGTTTCCAAACAATGCCAAATATAATGTAAATTTATCTCTTGCACGCTGGCTTCATTTAGTTCAGGAGATTAAGAAAAAACCCTAAATGGCTTGTCATGTGAACACCGAAATGCCTGTCCTCTAAAGATTCTTTGTGCTGCAAACCCACTGCCAAAGTATTTCCTATAAACTCTAACTTGTAACTTTCCGTGTTATGTCTTTCTAGACTTTGCAGATCAGGTATGGCAGAATAAGCATATCGCCTAATTCATGCAAATAAAATTTTCATATATTTTAGTAATATTTTCTTGAGCTCTTGATTGAAAAAGCATTTTTGTACATTTTACATAGCAAAGTTAATATTGTTTGAAAGTTTAATTTACAAAAAGTGCAATTACCAGTTTTCAGATTGGACTATGAAAATAGTTCACATAATGTCTGTATAATGCTAGAGGTTTGTATTACAGGTCCCTTATTTCGCAGGGGTGCTTTTGGCTGGCAGTTTTTACTACAAGGCGGAGCAGTTCCTTGCCTGCTGAAATTTTTGCTGCTTCTGTACTAGCAGAGCAGCATTCTGTATTGAACGGAATACTGCCATACCAGCTCTTTTCATGTGGAAAGATGAAGTGATGACCAGGGGAAAAAGTGGACAGAACCTCCTAACTGGAGAATTTCTGCTTCTGGAGAAATTAATGTCAGTGCTCCTTTGCACTGAAAAGGGGCAGAAGTCTTTGAACTTGTTTGTGGTCCATAAGGCAGGGATGAATTTGCTCTTCATTGCAAGTCTGGCCATTGTAGTCACTGAAAGCTGACTATATTTACTAGTAAGCAAAAACGCTCCTTCTTATTCTGCAATATTTATGTTTACATTTTATAAAAAATTGCTAATAAAAATCAGATTTGATTTCTGTTAGATCAGATGTTGTTTGTGTGATAATTTCTAGAGCACTTTTATGATTTAAGTATGCTAATTTAAACTATATTTACAAGAGTCTTGCAGTAAGGAATATCTTGGGAATCTATTAAGACTTGAACTGAGTGGTACTTTGTTTTCCTGAGAACACCTTTGAGGAATTTGGAAGCAGTCCAATATGCAAATCCTCTATCTCGAAGAATGAGCCTCTGAAAAAAACCAACCTTGTGCTTAAACAGTTTGAATCCTTCTTGATTTTATTTTTTTTCTTCCTTCCCTCTTTTAAAGGTGCATTTGAGCTTCTTACTGTTTCTCCATCGACTAGCAGAAGAAGCCAGGATAAATGCTTTTGAGAACAAAAGTAAAATAATTAAACCTGAGCACACTATAGCTGCAGCAAAGGTAATAAAGTATTTTTAATATTTTTCTTTTTTGTTTAATGTAAAATGTATTATCACAGCATATACAAAAATTTCGGTGTTAGTGTTGATATGTTTTTATTTATAATCCAAAACCTGTGGAAACGTAGTGTTCTTTAATCCATCATTGGCATAATTCACTGTTACCAAGACATCAAATTAACTCCCTTTGCCCTATTAAATATAACCCTGTTTTTCTTGATTATTCCACGTTTAAATTCATCGTTTCAATATGTGGGTGAGTCTACACAGTAGTCTACCAGCAAGCATTCACGGGCTGAAAGCCCAGGGAACAGAGGCAAATTCCAAAGTTGGAGGATCTTTATTTCAAATGACACCATATCAAGAAAGCACGCTGTGTTAACTTCTGTAATCTACATGAAGTTTTATGGAACAAGTGAGAAATTGCTCAAAGACATTCGGATATCTCACACTTTCAGTTCCTACCTGCTCAGTCTGGAAGATGTTTGAAGTGTTTAGGCTGCCCAGGGAGGTAGTTGAGTCCCCATCCCTGGATGTGTTTAAGAATAGAGTGGATGATCTACTTAGCAATATGGTTTAATGGGGATTAGGGACGGTTGGACTCGATGATCTCTAAGGTCTTTTCCAACCTAGAAATCTATGAAGTGGGTTCCTGCAGCGTTGTGTGGATACTGCATGAACAAGCAGATACTTTGTGCGATGGTGTGTTCTGCAAGGGAAGAGCTAAGGGAGGAATAAACTGTGGATTGCTGTGTGGGTAGTTCAGCATAACAAAAATTGCTGGAGTAATATCTGTAAGGAGGAATCCTCTGCATTACAGAGCACAATAAGTTTTGTGTACATGCAAAAGAAAGGAAAGAGGAAGGTGTTATGGAGGAAGGTGTTATGCAGCTTTCTCTCCCTTGAAAGAACTGGAGCAGCGTCAAAGTATGACTGAAATCCTTTTGTATTCCGTAGCTCATTTAATTTGCTAGGATATGTCTGCTTCACCTAGGTTTCATGGAGGATCCCAACCTCTTTAATTTGTTATCTGTTCAACCACCTACTACTGCTGGGCAAATTGGAAGAATGAAACTCAGTGTTATCTGGTATTTGGGTTCTGTGGCTTCTGTTTATCTTCAGTTTTTTTTTTTTTCCCCTCTGGTGAAATGTTTAGTTTGATACTTTCCATTACTATAGTAACAGAAATGTATACAGGATGTGTAGGGTAGCCAAGTGAATGTTACAGTTGGAGCCTTACGCATTTGTAATTTCTTTTTAACTGCAATCTTAACATTATTTGAACAGTTACAGTTGGAGCCTTACGCATTTGTAATTTTAACTGCAATCTTAACATTATTTGAACGTTTTTGTGCTCCATTTATTTATATTTTTTTTTAAGATGAGAAGAAAGGAAAAACTGTCTTTATTAAAATAATGTTAACACTTAAATGGTCCCACTTGGGCTTTGAAGTTCATTTTTCAACTTAAACTCCAAACCAAAAAATGTCCTTCCAATGGTCTGGGCACTCTTGATATAGAAAGAAATAAGGCATTACAAACAAAAATTGAGCATAGTAGCTGTACGATTGAAAATTATTTTTATTATTATTTTTTTCTTTTTGTCTAGGCCTAACAGGGTAAGAGCTTCAAGGAATCTGCTGACAGCTTGAGAGCACTATTGCCATTTCTCAGCATTCATTTTTGAAATAAGCCTTTTATTTACAGAATTCCTGGTTAATTCTTATTTTTAAAAAAGACCAACCAAAACACCTTTCTGATATGGCATTTTTCTGTATGCTCTTGCTTTATTCCTAACCTTTTCGCTAGACTTTTACCCTTGGTGATTCTTGGAAACAAATTGTTTGGCTAGGTGAGCCTTTGATCTGAGAAGCTTTAGGCTTTGGATCTCTTGCTGCTGCCTGGATTGTAGTGATAAAAGCAGTGATAAATATACTTTTTTCTTTTTGCAGGTTATTTTAAAGAAAAGCAGAGGCTAGAAAACAGTCCACTGGAATTTCAAAGCATGTTTTTTCTGTGTTTTCCTACTAATGTGAGATCCTGTGAGACGTCTTTTGCACTTGTGGAAGTATTTAGTTTCATTGATGTCTGTCTCCTGACTCTGAGTATCTTGCTGTTTCTTTAAAACAATATTTAACAATCTTACAATGTCTATTTTCATACACTTCATGTATAATTTTAAAATGTGTGTTACTTGTCATTTAAAACTTTTAATGTACCTTATTTCTTCCATAATAATGGAGGAATGCCTATACTGTAGACACTCTTCAGGTACAATGTGTCATGTATTATTAGAAGTGTGAAACTTTTAAAGGAGAACAGTAATAAAAATTGCAAGTTTCACTAAATCCATTATAGATTATGCAGTTCGAAGCAGATTTCCTAGCTAAACAAAGTCTTGGCTTTCAAAACAATCGGTGTAGAAACTAGTGTATTAAATATCTTGGCCTCAGTCTATTTATAAATATCTTAATATTTTTAAATTACCTTGAAAAGTAGGCTAAAACTTCTGTGTTCTGGGAAAGAATAAATATTTTGTATTGCTAAATCATGCTGTGAATTGTTAAGCTGGCGTATGGTTTGATGTGGTATATGAGACAAGTTGGTGGTCTCTCATGCAGTTGGTGTGGACAGATGCACATTATCGAAAAGAAAAGATCTGGCACAGCTGATGTTTTTGCAGTTAGATCCTGTACAAATAATGAAGATAAGTTGGCATGAGTGCCAAGCTACTTTCTCCTCCCTTTTGAGTATCATTCTAACTTGTCAGAAGTCTGGAAATGTACCTTATATAAAAATACCTATTTAAATTAAAGTCATATTGTATTCCTATTCTGATATTTTTAAACAGTTGCTGAACACTTTGCTTGATAAATCTTTTAATAAAAATATAGTTGAATCTCACGGTTTGAACTGTTAGTACAGTTTTGTGGACAGTGAGCACAATGAGCAATTTTTAAAATAAAGAATTTTTAAAAACATTATGTATTGAGTAGTCTAATTTTGTTTATCACATTATTGACTATATTGTAGAAACTCAGCAAAAAGGAATTGCATTTTATAAATATGTTTTTAGTCTAAGGAAGCTGGAGTAATGCCAGGACTTCAAATTTCTTACCATATCCAGACACTTTTTAAAATCCTATACAACCTGTGAAAAGTCATCCTTTTACAGTACGCAGAAAGGAAGGATGTCTCTTCTGCTTATACTTAACTCGTATTAACAGTTAATCTTACAGACTGCTTCTTGTAAGGTTAACTAGATTCTTTATTCTGCATTTTCTTTTCTTACTCCCTTGGAATCCACAAAGAAAGCTGAGAACATACATACATATTTAGAATATTTGCACTTAATAACCTGAAGTAGTTCGTCAGGAATAAGGGACATCTGACAAGATATTTATATTTTCTTTTGTAATTACTGTCTGTGATTTAATTTTATTGCAATGCTAGATTTTCCTTTGTTAGAAATGTTTTCTCATAACTTTTCCCTGAAATATTTTCTTATAGTCTTGTATAATCACATACCTTTCCTCACTGTACAGTCGTTTGAGTGCTGTAGCTTCTTTTGGAACTTCTTTTGATGTCCACTTTAACTTTTTCTTTTTTGATTTGCCTGGGAGCAAGATCCACTTTGAGCTTAGTGGAATGTTCTCATTCTCATGTTGTAGTTAGATGATCAGGTACCATTGGGGAAGGGAGGCAAGGAAGGGTTAAAACCTGTCACTTGTGTACTTCTTTAATATTTCACAGTGTTTTCAGCCTGTATTAATGATTAAGAAGGTGCCTTTATTTTTTTTATAGGAGAGAGACTTTTTTCTGTAAACACTGAGAAGTTTTGAGTCCTGTGTCCTGTCACTAGATTGCCAATACTTTGTGAACATTTCATAATAGCTGAAGCAGTCAGGTATTCAGAAGACCACAATTGCTCGGCAGGTATTCAGGCTTCTCTCTTAAATTTTAAATAAAGCTTACTGAAAATTAATGTGGTTGATGTAGTGTGGTTAAGCATTCAGAAATGCTATTATGTTTCTCTAGTGTCATCTTCTTGAATGCGCACCATAAGGTTAACTGTATTCATATTTGGCAGCTCTTCTGTACTCCTTCATGTGTATACATAGGATCTCTTCTCTACCTGATACTCCTTACTGGAATTTTAAAATCAAAACTCCTTACAGGAGTGTTGTCTGAATATCCATGAACGCTTCCAGTCTTGGAGGATATACTAATAATCTATTTTCTGTTCTTGAATGTCTGTTTAATGACAAAACTTCAAAGCAGGTAGTTCTAGATAATGTCTTTTTAAACTGGATCTGTGTTAGAAAGCCCAATGAATTTGGGTTTTCTTATTTGAATTCCTGTATTGATTTCTGCCATTAGGAGGAAAAAAGCAAGGATTATTGGGGGAAGAGTCATGCTGATGCATTAACAAGGTGTTTCTTTTGCTCAGCTGTTTTCAGGAAACCTTGCGAAATTTAGTGTTCAGAAACTATTCAGACTAATGACTCACTATTGAATTTCCTGTGGTTTTAAAGGTAAGGCTCAAGAAATTTTGGGAAGGAGAGGTGCTCAGGCAGTACAATTATGACTCTTCATTTCCTCAGGGAGGCAGGATAGAAGGCCTAAAAAATTAAAGGCATACTAAGACACTATCCAATTTTTCCATTTTCTTTCTTTTCTTTGCAGCTTTCTCAGTATTCTGTTTCGTGCCCTACCCTGCCCTTCTAGTATAACCATCAATGAAAGGGGGAAAAGTCGAAGTGAAGAAAATAGAAGAATTTGTCAAAAGTACTTGTGGTGGCCCTTGGCTTGGTTTTCAGCTTTTCACGTAGCTCATGTTAGTCCCTGGGCCAGTGGGTGGTATCACAAGTGATTAAGGCACGGAAGAAGAAGAAAAATGTTTATTGATAAGCAGGTGACTGAGAAGGAAGACGGCTTTCTGTAGTGGGGTGCAGCTGCTGCTATTTTTTTTCCTGTTGGGTATGGAGTGCCTGATGAGAGAGGATCTGCTGTTTGCCAGCTTGAGTATGTCTTCTCGTGAGGAGTGTGCACTACTCTAGCTCTCATGGTCACATCATTTTGCTTGCAAGATAAGAGAGAAGGTAGTTGTGAAAGCTTTAAAAGTAGGTTAATGCACTCTTTTGTTTTAACTTGTAGGGCTTGTAAGTATAGTATTTTCTGAGTGGTATAAATCACCTGCGTATTAGGTTTAAAACTATTTTAAAAAATGTGACTATTAAGAATGGTTTATCAGTGGAGGTTAGATCTGTGGAGAGATCTAGCTGTTTAACTCCTAATGAGTCAACAGGAATATATGAACTTGTATGCTTTTGTGGGTCAGGGCTCAAATAATCACTGTTCTATTTGAATCTGAAGTTATATTGGTTCATTAAGTACCTAAAGGGGGCCTACAGGAAAGCTGGAGAGGGACTTTTTACAAGGGTGTGTAGTGATAGGACAAGGGGCAATGGATTTAAACTGAAAGAGGGCAGATTTAGGTTAGATGTAAGACAGAAATTCTTTACATTGAGGGTGGTGAGGTACTGGAACAGGTTGCCCAGAGAAGTGGATGCCCCATCCCTGGAGTTGTTCAAGGCCAGGTTGGATGAGGCTTTGGGCAACCTGGTGTGGTGGAGGATTTCCCTGCCCATGGCAGGGGGGTTGGAACTAGATGATCTTTGAGGTTCCTTCCAACCCTAACCCTTCTATGATACTATGATTAAGTCTGCTTTTTCAGTTCAGAACATCAGCACAGGTGCTGGAGAGGACATTTGTGCCTTGGAGTTTCATTATGCTTCTATGTGCTAGAGTGCATCGTTGCTAAAAAGAATCTTAAGTTGCATAATACAAATAGAAAATATTCTCTGGCTATAGCGATACAGTAAGAGAAAAAAAGAACAGAAATATGTATGCTGTAATAGGAAAATTCTTTTTCTAGCCATAAGGTGGGGATAGAGCAAAAACTGTTTTTCTTCCCTGCAGTAACATCCCAATAGAGAAAATATTCTATTTATTCCTACTAAAAAGTAAACTATAGGTTGTGACACTTCCAGATATTTTTTTGAAGACTACCAAGCCTGCACTGCAGACATATGGAGGTCAATTAATGTTTTATAAAAATTCCCATTCATATCAAAAAAGGGTATTCTGCTGATCTCTCTTACCCTCTTTTTCCTTTTTCCTATTCTGATACCCTCTTTTACCATCTCTGAGGAGAGGGTAAAAGGGAGATGGACGAGACTCTGATGGATCTTGAAGATTTTTCTTTCTTCAAAGCTCAATGTTTCAGCATCAGATAGTCTTCTTAGTTATAGGTTTATAGTTATTTGTACAACATAGCCTTGTTTTTAGAAGCTGGTATGTTCTATGGACAGTTTTATGCAGGAATTTTTTATACAGGACATTGCTCATATTGCAGCTTTTAACTGTAAAACGTGTAGCTCGTGTTGGTTGAATTGCTGACTCGGCATTTTTTTTTTCGGCATTCCATTAGTCTTTTATCAGCTTAGAACAACTAATGATAGGGCATTGTAACTCCTAAATGCATAGGGTTTTGAGGTGACTTATGATTATGAGTATATATTTAGAAGGTGTGACATACATTTCAAATAAAAGTGCTGATTACAGTAAAACAAAATTCCTTTTTCGAGAGCTGTAAACTATGTCAAATTTAAGTTCTTCACACTGTTTCAAAGCGGTGCGTGTAGTTGTTTTTCAGTTCAATATACTGTATGTATGTATTGGAATATAGATTCCTGCATATGTTTTAATGGTACTGTACTTGTAGCTGCTGTGGTAGCCTACTTGGACATGATAAAAGAGCATAATAGAACAAATATCTTACATGTTTGAGTAGTTTCAGTTCTCAGATGAGAAGATGCTGACAGCAATTTTGTTGTGCTAAATAGAGAACTGCAACTTTTTCAGGAAGTCGATGAAGAGTCTTCCCACCTGGAAGCTTGTGGTTCTGCAGAGATAG